GGAGTGTCATGATAGTAAAGAGTTAAGTTACTATCATGACACTCCGCCACAGCCTTCTGGACGAGCGCCATCGAGAGATTCTGGCACGCGACCGCGATGTGGTGCCTGAGATCAGCGATTTCTCCGCCACCGTAGACCACCCTATTGAACTCCGCCCGAACCGGGTAATTGAGGGGATTCAGGTCAGGTGACCTACTTGGCAAGTAGGCGAGAGTTTCTCCAACGCCCTTCGATTCCATGTGGTGGCACCCAATGCTGTAGCAGTACAAAGTTTCCAAGAAGGTACGGGCGACGACATGTGAGGATATTCTTCTCGAGTTGCGATGTTGGAGGTCTTCCAGATCGAGAGTACTGGTCTCCAGGTAGCTATCCATGGGTGACTCCATACTAGAAGTTTCGCAGCTGTTTGGAGGTGACATGAATTCCAAAGGTCTTCTCCAGTCAGGCTGCGACTGGAGATGACTTCATATTTTGGTGTACATGAAGGTGATGGGCGAGAGCCAGCTCCTGCTTATCGAGGAACATCTTGGGTATCTTCCGCCCTGGTACTCGTATCCATTTTTTTGCCCCCCCCCCCACCTGTATAGGGCATTCGATTATGCAGTCTGCTCTAGGCACCTTAACGATTTTTGACAGATGGGGAGTCTCTCTTGACATCTTTTAGGTATGTGACGGAATAGAGGACTGCTCGACTGGCGAAGACGAAAGTGACTGCAGTTGTGTGGTGAGCGCTTAATCTTGTATAGTTCGGAGTACTTTTCGAAGAATCTTCGTTTGAATCAAAGAATCAGCCCGTCTTGAGAGGTGGCACACCCCGCCCAAAAGCTTTGGTGTGCAGTTCTGACTACATCATTAATCCTTTTACTTTTCTATTTGTTATTGTTTCTTATCTAAGTTTTTTATGTCTGTGTTCCGCATTTGAATTGCATTTTGAGGTTGCCCGATTCCAGACTGGTGTGACCTCCACGTCCGCTGGAGGCGGGCAGTTGCTGACACCGTCATTGGTGGAAGGGCTGCGAGAGAGCTTTGGACACACCTCCGCTCAGCCTTTCTACCATGGACACTGGCAACAACCTCCAGTCGCCAGCGGTCGCACCCACTGCCTTTAAACTCGCTTCCCCTTACCTGTTTGTTTCCAGGGCTTGAATAAGTTTGAGTGCCGTTCGGCATCAGGCAAAACGAAGTGCATCCCCAAGGACAAGGTATGCGACGGTGTATGGGACTGTATGGATGGAAAAGACGAGACTAATTGTGGATCGGTGAGCGTCACCTCGGTCTATCCAATACAGTAATGTGGATTTTCTCGTTCTTCCAGTGCCCTCCCTCTTCCATCCGTTGTCCCGTCGAAGGCACATGTATCCCAAAAATCTCACGATGTGACGGTGTAGCAGACTGCCGAGACGGCTCCGATGAAACAGACTGCACTTGCGAAGGTCAGACTTCGAGCTCAAGTAGTTTAGTCGGTGAAAGCTCACAACCATTATAGGATGTTGATATCGCAATTTGAATTCTCTACAAAATACCTTTTTTTCAGAATGCATTGGGAACCACTGGAATACGTACATGTGTGGCGCATCATCTCACTGCTTCAGAAGAGATGAAGTATGTGCCCCATATACCCTATGCCCGAACGCTACCAAGGCTGACAAAGTCTATTGCGCTGGACGAGCACTTCGTGGTGTAGACTGGTTGGAATGAATACTTTAGACTTTGTTGTGGGTACTCACGAGTGGACACGAAAATGCGTGTAACATGACGGATGGGCCTTCAACTCCGAACTCCACTATACTGGCAATCACGTCTGATCTCAACAGGGCAACGTTTGCACGCCTGGTTGAGCTCATCCTGATCGCACATGCGCCCCGCCCATTTTCGTGCCTATTGCACCACTCGTAGATTGTGATTATTCTGTTAAATTAGTCATACTATTGAGATGTTTTATAAATTTATCAGATTGTGCGAATTTTAAGTGCTTCAACAATATGCATCAAAATAAATCTTATACATTATCTCGGTTTTTGAATGAACCATGCTAAATGGGAAAGGCGGGCGATTGTCGAGCTTTTACGTGTGCAGGATTCTTGATTTCGTCGAAGTACACTACTGTACATTTCTTAACTCGCCGGCGGATAGGACCGATAGGTGAATTTACGCGTCAGTTCAATGCGTGAGGCTTAGTGGGAGAGGGGGGGGGCGATGTTCATGCTTCAGTTGAGAAAATCTACCATATTCAGCGTAAGCCAACTGGACCAAGTTCGATTCGCAGTGGACAGCGGGACGGGCAGTGAGGCCGGGTTTGGTGCGCCCGTTGTACACCACTTGTTGAAGCGGGTATACGACAACAGCCACTGGAAAGCGACTGATATGAAAGTTATGGTACAGTTTCGTCGCTTTCTCGCTTCAGCAACCGGCGGAAAATGGGTTTAGCCGTGTGCCGAAGCCTGTCCCTACGCATGCCCCTTCGTTCGCAGCGAGCAGGACTAAGCGCTGTTTAGTAACGCGTTTCGTACTAATCGTAATCTGGTAGGCTGGCAGCTATGGGCAGCAAATGGGGAGGCAATAGCGGTTGAAAAGATTTCCTGGAAGTGCCATCACCTTGTGCTATTTAGACGCAGGCCGTGAACCAAGATCTCATAGTTTTGTAATAATAAAAGAAATGGCATTAAACTCTCAAGGGAGATGCAGTAAGCGGGCTTTGGTGTGAAAACCGTCTTGCCTTTCTGAGTCGAACTGACTTGATGACAGCATGCTCATTGGCAGACGGCTACTGTATTGTCACGGATCTCTCTCCCAGGTTCATGCTATTTGGCTGCTCAGTGTAGGCGATGGCTCATCACTGGATTTGTACACTGATTTCGATTCTTCCCTTTGCAAGTTACTCAATCATTCAGCGCTACAGCTTTACTCGGACGCTAAAGGAAACCCATTTCTCATACAAATCAAGAACACCACCGAAGGAAGGGTTTTTCCAAGCGAAAAGACCAATTTATTGATTGGGCGACTGGCTTTCGAAGTAGGGTAATTTTTGGAGAAAGGCTTAGGTATTAAAAGCAAATTCGTAAAGCATCCTGGTCATAAAAATTGTTTTGAAAGAAAAACAATTGAGGAAATATCTTCTGCAAGAAACCTGAGGGAGGAAACGCGCTCCGATCTGTATTTAAAGGGCCAAATGTTGTCCGTCCTAGGCGGACGACCCTGAAGGTGCCGCAGTTCACGGTTTGCCATGGGCGGCCCGAGATGCTCCGTACTCTGCTAAATTTCACCTGAAAATTTGGATTTCATTAAATTCACTTAAATATTAGCGGGTTTTCAAAACTATGACTGGGACGATGTCGAGTGTTTTTCTTTTCTGTTTTGCGCTGGTGAGATGCGTTCTCTGCTGGAACTACCGATTTGGCTATTTTTAAATCATTTTTGTGTTTTGATGAGAAGTTGTCAGCTGTATCAAGCAGCCTTGTTTGGAAAATATATTTGAGTGTTTGTAACTTTACATTAGACTGGTTTCATTGCACAAAATTGGGGGGTTTGTGATTCCCCGTGCGCCATTTCATTGGCCTGTTATTGGATTGTTATTCTGTTTGTCCTTTTTATTTTTATTACTTTTCTAACTCGCGTGAGGTTATTGAACGGTTTGTTTTTTTTACCTTTTTGTGGTGTGTAACTGCCAGTTCTCAGGTACGAAGGGATGTCGCTCAGCCGCATCCTGCCTGCGGGTAAAAGCGCTCGCCTCGTTGTTATTCCATTGCGGTGCACGCACAGTACTGCTCGTAAGTACTTTCTTTTCAAATTTTCATCCCATGTATAGTGTATACATCTTGAGTTGGTCAAATGTTAAACATATTCATCATTGTAGAGGCTGGAGCGGCTCATCATGTTGAAGTTCAGACAGAAGATCTCGACAAGATCTTTCTTCCGGCGTTGGGACAGGAGTGTTCCATCTCGCCAAAGGTGACAGGCTCCTGTCCGCTCAGTCGTTTCTCTCGCCATGTCGGCGAGAGAGCATCACTTCCACGAGCGAGGTTCTATTCCAGACAAGTGCTATTTAGGAATCCCGTGTCGATCCAAGGTCCAGAGATGCTCAAACGTCATGCCCAAGAACTGTGCTTTTCGGATATGCAATACCAGGCGACTGGCGTTGTGGCCCGAGCCGGGTAACGCCCGAGTGCCCTGAGCCCGTCCCTAACCAAAGGCCCACTTACAAAGAGCACGCCCGCTAGCTCATGAGGTTACACTGGTTCGTCATTGACTTTTTTTTTTCTTCCTGTGCACTTTGGATTCGCTAGAATACGACCTATCGTCCGATAGACATACGCCTGAACACATCAAAAGACTTCCCCCATCCGGCTTAGTCCGGTCGGCCGGTGCGCAAGAGAACTCATTTTGTTTACTTGAAAGAGAGATTGTCACAAGGCACAACGTGACATATCAAGTGCGGGGATTGCTAGGCGTTCTGGCCTTGTGAACCCGACGCGTACCGCCGCGCATCCGCAGGCCGAGGCTAAAATGGCCTCCCGTCGCGCTTCGTCCCCTCGTCGTCCCGGCTTCTTTTTTCAAATTTGGATGCTGGCCCGGCCTGCCAGTGCAGCCGCGCCCACAGGGGGCGCAAGTTGCTTCCTGGGCACATTGCACACTTCCACAAATGTCTCTGCTGTGACATGTCAAGTCATGCCAGTTTTTGCCTCGGTCAGTCGTGACGTCACGAGTCAGAACCAGAGGCGTAACAGGCGTAGGGAAAATTGTTGGTAGTTTCGAGATGGCAGCGAGTTGCCGGCCCCTGCGCAGCAGCCCGACTGCTCCGGCCACTTACCAAACTGGTCTGAAGTTCGTGGTCCCTGGGTTGAGTAGGGCATAACGCCCCGCCGAGTCCCCCCGCCCACGGTTCCGCGCAGGAGAAGTTTGTTCTCCAGAGAGCGCTTGTTCCTAGGAAGTTCACACAGCGTCATTTATGATGTTTACCCAATGAAACACTTTAGGTGAACTAATCCCTATCCCCCCTGTGGCCCGGCGACTGTGCGCCGGTATCATACAGGTACGGGGTCTCGGTTGGGCCGGGGCCCGGGCGTCCCTCCCCGGTCGATCGACCAACATTATCCACCAAAGACCGCCCTTCTGATGATGCGCGGACTCGTGTTTACATCGCAATACGAAGGTCACTGTGTTTCAGGTTTGAATATTCATTGGTTTTTTTTTACTCATTACTTTATTTGACAGAAGAGATTGCCTAAAATTTCATTATTTATTTATTTATTAAGGACCATATCTGTTCTTCGGTGGCCTCTTCGCATTTCTCGTGAATAAGGAGATATGGGTATATGAGGAGCAGGGCCATATGACAGTTGGTTGGATTCTGTTCTACCTTCTTATTTCGAGGACTGTTGGATGTGAGTTCTTACTTTTTCACTGGTTGTGGTGTATGCTAGCAAATTAGTGACACGCTTTTGATTGCTGTCATTTCTATCCTGTTGTTTCAAAGAGTCTTATCAGTGAGAATAGTAACAGTTGGCCATGCTTTCTTTTTGTGATGAACATTGCGCAATTTGCGGGCAAATACGCAGTTTGCATTGATCATATGAGCGCAGTAAGTTAGACCCCTGTCCTGGCTTGGATAGCGCGCCCTTTCTCTTTTCCATTGTGGTAGCAGTGACCCACTAGTTGTCCAAGTGAATTTGTTCATATGATCAGCTAGGAGTGTGCCTTTAAGTTCTCAGTTGATACTCATTCATTTTAGACCGAATTGATAACTATCTTTATGGAGAATATCAAAAACGTATGGACTACTTCAAGGGTCTGATTGCCGAAGATCTGAAAGATGCCGTTGAGTTCCGAAAGGTTGGAGTGTCTTCGTTCAAGCTCTTCATTATCCATTACTTATTTCTCTCCCTGCTCCCACTCCTCATATTTCGTGTATCTCCTCGACTTCAGACGTCAGCTGCTGAGACCGCATCTCTCAACGCTGTCAAGGAGAACTTCCCCGTAATCATGAAGGAAAATATGGCATTGCAGCTTGAAGCTACCTACAGGTGAGCGTTCTAATGTTGTTATAATTGTTTTACGTCGAGAACAAGTCAACTGGCACACACTTTGGTGGAGTTAGTGTTACAGTTCTCGTAGAATGACAGCATTGTCTCGTTAGATCACACTGATAGTGTTAGTCCTCTTTACACAATGCGATAACTCGTTTTTTTTGGAGTTTCTTTTGGCACCTTAGAGTCGATTAAGAAATGTTGAAAATTGTGTCACGTGCGCGGCTCTTGCACTAGGATCTCATCATGTCGAGTAAACTAATTAGCTAATCCTTTACTAGTTGGCTCACGATTTCGCAAGTTGGACTTCCTAAACTACATCAATTCCTTGACTTGAAGCTGTCTAGCAATAACAGCGTGCTTAACAATATATATGTTTTTCGTGAGTTTTAATTCAATTTGGATTCTTCTGTGTAGCTCTGATGTAAAGCGCTTACGGCCCAGTTACGTTGCTTTCATTGTTTTGCGTATTTGAGAGATTTCGA